GATGGTTTCTCTGTGTGCTATGGGATCTTAACCCCAAGGCTGATTATTCATGGAAAGAATTTTGCACTGTCAAAAAAACCCCAAAACCACACCCCCCAAAAAAACCACAAAACAAAACAGGGAAAAAAACAACTTCCCCCCCAAATCCCCAACTTTGAATATTTCCAGATAATGTCTGTAAAAGAGCAAGACCTAGGCTGGAATGCCCTGTACACACTGTAGATATTGCTATATTCTCCATGACAATTATTTCAATCTGGAGCCTGTAAATTCATGAGGAGTGGTTCTGCAGTACTGAATTTTGCTGGTGGCATCCAGCCTCTCCTGGCAATGTTTTTCTGCCTTTCATTTCTTTTTCATTCATTCAGGCTTGGTTATTTCTCTCTTTCTATTCCTGGTTGAAGAATGAAGCCGTTTCCTTCCACTACTTCATCTGTCTTCTCACTCACCAGTAGACTTCTTCCAGAAGAGGTTTCTGATAAGAAATCAAATTAGATTCCATCCATAGAAGACCACACAAACTTCAGAGTGAATCTGGGACACTGACTGTAACTCTATTTATAGACATTGAAGTCAGACTGAACACAAGGTCAGTTTCTCTTTCAGGCTGCAATGAACCTCTCAAATCTGCTGAACTTAATGAAGTTGCAGCAACACTAGAAAAAGAAGGATGTTGTCCATAATTCATAGTCCTGGTAGCTTCTTTCAAATAACTTGCCATACATGTGGCTTCCAAATGCATTTTTTTTATTTGCAAGGACAACAGAAGTTGTATTACCAGCCAAAGGAGGTAATGCAGATAACTCCTTATAGATCACACTGAAAATGTAATCTGATATGTACTGCTGAAGACTAGAAAGACACAGCTTCTTTCCTAAAGAACGTTTTCTAAAGTCCTCACTCATGCACAGCATTCAGTGTCATCAAGATTTGCATTCACAAAGAGTGCAATATCAAGGTAAATAAACATTCTGAGTCTTCCTGTTTATTCTATACCAGTGTAAAAAAAACACATCAACATGGTCAGAAATTGCATTGACACCTACATTAAAACCTTTCTGCATTAACAACATGGTGGTATCAGAACCATACAGCAAGCTAGAATGATCATTCATCTATAATAATACCAGTAAGGCAAGGAGTACGTTTCTAGTTCTTGCCTTACATGTGTTAGTGCGACAGTGTCAGACATGTCTGAGTGACTGGAGAAGACACATATGAAATATGTGGAGCCAGTTTAGTGCTTTACAATATGATACAACTGTCCTGAAGAAGGGATCACACCTGTTTCACAACCTTCAGACCTTTAGCCTGAAGGCTTAAGACTTCCTTGAAAAACTAACAAACCACATTTCATGTCAAAGTTTAAAAAAAGCACATTCCTATAATAAAGTATTTACAGCAAAAGTTACAAATAAGAAAGAGCGCCGTTTAACACACAGCTCACTAAGTAATGTTGGTAGTTCAAACACATTGCAAACAATACAACATGTTTGCATTTTGAGTTGCATTGTTGTGCTTGGTTCCTAAACTAAGGGACACTGCATTTTCCTATGTTCCTTTCAGTTATATTGAGATACAAGCTAGTGAAAACTACAAGGTTTGTGAAGTTTGTTGAACTTTTTTTGGAAATTCAAGAAATAAATTTATCATGGAGAGAAGCAAAATCAGGTTTTAAGTCTTCCACTATGAGCTAGTATGATTTTTACTTTCACTCCAGTCTGCAGGGTAGGGACCGAAAGACAGCTAATCACCACCTAGTCTGACAATACAATAGAACCAACCACTTCTCTATCAGTTGTTACAAATATCACTGCTGTCCTCTTTGTACCAGGGGGAAAACCCGAGGTCTGAGGTGAGCTGACCTTGCCTAAAGTTACAGAGCAGGGCAAAGAAGAGAATCCCACCCCCTCTGGCCAGACTTTTTGATTTCCAATACTTTCTTATTTCCATGTAGTACTGAAGAAACAAGGGGTGACTTTCATAGATTTTTCAAATGCTGTTTAAGCACACATGGCCATTAGAAGTGTACTGGGTCAAGGAACAGATTTCAGGAGTTTCCAATCTCATTGTTCCCATCTATACATTCAAAAGGGACTGTTGTCCTTTTAAGCCCAGCTGAAAACTAAGCACCACACAGCCACTCGCTCACCCATCACTGGGATTTGAGTAGCCACAGCACCTGTGGCTGTAGTTCTCTGATTAGTTCCTACTGAAGACAGGACGCCCATCCAAAATTTCTTTTGTTAGTCTTTCTTTAAAGTTGCTGCCTGAAATTTCCAACCATATGATCCTGTTTAAGTTCTTAGCAATACTGTTTAAAGCAGCAAATAGTCAAATTGTCATATTTTCTTGATTTCCTGATTTGACAGAGGCTAGATGTTACACAAACTAAAGCATTTAAATTGTTGTTCACATTCAGAGAGACAGAGCTAAGCTACAACTCAGCTTCTTTTCCTATAGTGTACTTCATATTTATTCTGACACCTGCAACCACAAAGGAGCCTGGATTACAGCAGACCATAATACTCTATGAACCATGGTTATAATTAGGCATCACATCCATTGTAATCCTATGGACGTCATCATGTGTTACCAGCATCTGTTGACAGATCTCATACCAGGCATATCACTGAAATGGCAAGTCTGGAGAGGGCAGCCCACAATAGAAACAATGGCATTTATTTTTGGTTTGTTCCAAGACTGTCTAATAGAAAATACATGCTGCCAACTGCCAAGGCTGCACTGAGATTACTTTTAATATTATATTACCAGTTAGAACAAAGATCTGTGCCCATGTATCTGCAATCTTCTCCTAATAAATAAGGAAATAATGAAAGCACTTTCTGCAACTGTCTTAGCACCAATTAGAGAAAGATAGAAGCCTTGAAATTTTATAAAGTTTATCAGGCCCTTTATCATAAGGGTACTTATTTTTCATGTAATAATAAATTCAGACTCCTTTCCAAGACAAGGAAAGAAGATCCCCTCTCCTAAATTTTATTTAAATGTGGTATCACTTTAATATTAAAACTAAGCCCAGGGAACTGGCAACATAAAGTAGCAAAGCCACAATCTCTCTACTTTATGGAAGTAAAGCAGAGTCTGTTTTAATTTATCACTGTGGAAACCTGACTTTCTGCTGAAGCGCTGTCTGTTTGGAGGAATGGAAACAAGCAATTTGCTGTGGGGTCTTATACTAACTACTCCCTGCTCTTCTGTAAAAGTCAAGAGACTTAACTGTAAACATAAGAAAGCCTACAGAATCCAGCTTCTCTTTATTTTTTATCATTTATCTGCATTGTAGGAAAACTGCCTTAGAGTCCTGCTGACTATCTAGGAACCTGTCCATTATTTCTCTATTTTGAAAGCAGCATTCTCTGAAATGCTGGACAATTGAATCCTAATCAGATGGAACCACAACCTGTTACAGCTGAGCAGTTTCAAATCACTGAAGAACTTAAGCACTACAACAATTTCCATTCTCATTATAAAACATAGAAGAATACTTCACCATCTAAAGAGCATCAAATTAAAACAAATGTCAGTGTTGATAAGTACAGCTAAGAATTGGTTTGGAGTTGCAGCAGCTGGTAGATCAAGAAAAGTGAACTTCAACTTAGTCCAGGACTTCCCCCACTATACTCATACAGCAGGATCTGAACAGGTGTGAATGTAGGAAAATGAATAAAGCCAGCTAAAACTCACAGAAGGAGGAAAGCTACAAATAAAAACTGAGAGGAAACTATTGGCTCTACAATTCTAACAGAAAAGCAAACCCATTGGCCCCAATGATTCTAACAGCTCTTACTTTTATAGCTATACTTTTATAGTACAGCTTTTATAGAAGCTGCAACTGTAAGAGTGAGCCAGTCTGTCATCAGATATAAATTGGCAACTTCTACTTAAATTTTTGAAGCGAGCTGCTCACCTATAGCACAAAGTATATTCAACCTTATTGTCCAGAGCGCCATTTCTCTCTCTCCCTTGCCTTTTATTTTTTTCATTCCCGTAACCAGCAGATAACCTTTTAATCCCAGATCTGTTAGCTGTGACTTTAACATCAGCTTTTACATTAGGAAGTAACAAATCCTTTACAATATTTCATCTTTCTCTTTCCCATATGCTGCTTAAAACTCAGTGTTCTGAAATTAGATATTGCAAATATTACTAAAGTACCAAACCATTGACAGGACTGCTGATGGGATTATAATCTCTGCCTGTGTTCAGAAAAAGACCACGGGCAGTACTTGCTGGCATAACAGTTTTCTTACGCCTAAAAGGCAAGAAGCATTTGTCTACAATGGTATACTCCAAGGAGTTTACAAACCCCATTTTTCCCAGACAGTGAATTGGCATGTGTGAACCTAATAATGAAATACAGTTTTCCAAAACTAGCCTGGATATATTTCTAGGCAATATTTTCCTTGTCAGATGATTCAGTGAGAATTAAAAGTAAATTTTAATAAGAGCTGACTCACAAGATCACAATTTCAAAAGAGATTTCTCAGTCTGCTCTCAGAGATATTGCAAACTTTTTTCTGCACGCTGATTTTGAACCTTCTCATCTCCCTGTTTATAATTGCATTTTACTGTTTTCGAAAAGCAATCCGGCACACGCATCAATTCAGAGTCAACTTCCTGGGTCTTCCTGTCAGAAAGCAAAGTCAAAAATTACTGAAATACTAATACGTAAATCTAGAGGTATTGACAGAGTATTTCCAGTGCAATATAAAAAAAACTCCTGACTCTCGTGAGTTATTTTCATCTTACATAGGTTTCACTTAAGAATCCAAAAAGTGAATGCTTTATCCTCAAGACATGGCACGGCTAATATATATATGATATATGTGCTTTATACGATGTAAAGTAGATCCTCTTACAAAATCAGAGCCCCTTACTGCACAGCCCTGGCAATTCCAGATGCAGCGTGGCAGTAAGAGAGGACATCATTCCACACAGAAGCACATAGACGGACAGACATTACTCTATTTCCAGACCTTCCTTTGCTGTTTCTCCCATGCCGGGTCCAGGAGCAGGTCCCTGTCCCATTCTTCTTCCTGGGTCATGTACTCATCTTCTTCATAGTTGTAGGTGTACTGCATGTTTGTGTCTATCTGATTCATGGTGTTCATGCTACCCGGGGATCAGCTTCGGCCGCTGTGGCTCCTACTACCTTTAAACGGATATATATTTTTTTAAGCTTAGTTTACTTGGTGACGGGTTGCAGGTAGCAGCGTCTTTTTTTTTCTTTTTCCAAGGTGTCAGGGAGCGAGCGTGTTGCCGAGAGCAGAGGCTGAAGCTGTCGGGTAGGTGCTGACCTGCGGTGACCTTCCTTCCCTCTCTCTCCTGCCCCCCTTCCCCTTCTCTCTCTCTCGCTGCTGCTGCTGCTGCTGCAGGTCCCTGCG